GAAGAACACTGGACCAGAACTTAAGAGAATAGCAAGATAATAAATCGATATCTAAAGTAAACACCATAATGTGAAATATTTCAGACAATGAGCCATTCTTATTCCACATATTCCATTCCATTCCATTCCAATTACATCTCTACAGCTAGTTCTTTGAATATCAGGATGTGCTGTGGTGGTACTGAAGGCTACTTCTACTGACTGCCAGCTGCCAGCAGTTTGGCAGTTCGATCCTGACCAGCTCAAGGTTGATTCAGCCTTCCAAGATGAGTAAAATGAAGACCCAGATTGTGGGGGCAATATGCTGACTCTGTAAACCACTTAGAGGGGACTGCAAAGCACTGTGAAATGGTATATAAGTCTAAGTGCTATTGCTATTTCTAGAGAACCAGTTTGTATAATAGTTAAGGTATCAGGCTAGGAACCAGGAGATCTGGAGTTCTACTCCCACCTTAGGCATGAAGCTAACTGGTGGTCTTGGGACAATCACTCTCAGCCCTAGCAAACAGGCAATGGCAAACCACTTCCAAAATCTAGTCAAGAAAACCACAGAGACTTGTCCATGCAGTCATGAGAAAGGAAGACTGACTCAAAGGGACAAAAAGAAAAGTTTACTGTGATATCAGCAATTGCATTTATATTTTAATTAATATATGCATTTGATTTCCTCAGTTATTTTAAATGGTGAGCAATATTCTCAATACACAAAATGATATCATGCTTCCCAATCAGATTCTGATCATGCAATATTTCTTCCTCATCCAAAGATCTAGGTCTCCCTACTATGCCAGGTAGACAGACTATGATCAGGTAATGTCTTCACCATTCCCATGTTACATTTACTTTTTTCCAAAAATACATCTGTTGAAGAAAAGAACTGAAATTACTGCCCTGATGTTCTTCCAGCATAGAGCCAGAATTCTTAGATTATAAATATATAAGTATTTATTATTACTAGTAATTATTGCTATATTCTAATAATTGCAGAATTATTCCTTTGGCAGAATGGTATTGTATTTTGTATTTGTGTCTATGTCTGTCAGTAGTAGTAAGAAATAAAATAACAGTGATACAATAACGTTAATAAGTGTGAAAGACATATTTTAAACATATCCAACATTTTTCTGTAGATCTGTTTTGTGAGAAAAAAACATAATGAACATCTGTTGCTTTGTCTGTTTTCTCTCTGAACAACTTTCCCTTGTGAAATCCTCCCAATTTAAGGTTCTATCAAACATATTTTTAAAACAATTTGAGATAATAAAGGGAACACGATAATAAAGCCCCATTTTCATTCACAAAGTGGCATTTTAAACATGTTTCTCTTTAACTGCAAAAGGAAAATACAACAGTTTCTCAAGAGATATTCGAACACCTGCCACTGAGCAGTTAACTACAATGCTATCATGTTCTAAGGGGCAGGTGTTAAAGTAGTACTTTATGCTAAGAGCATTCAAAAACTGGATTACCACAGATTAAAACGTTTATTGGAGAGGGCACTGTTCCAAGTTCTACCCTCACACATATATTAAAATTCTGTGGAAAGAAACTGAACTGAGTTTCATTTCTTTCTTGGCTATAGCCATCATAGTAATAATGCAATGTTATGCCACAGAGGATAGCAATAAGAGGGAAGAGAAAAGCTAAAACCAATAAATATTTTGTTCAGCTGCCTGAACAAAAGATCTGTATTTTATATCTTTCTTCCCCATTTTAGTGGATCTATTCATGGTCATTCATATAGTCTGAGAAGGAAAGGATTAGAATTAGGCTGAGGCAAATATCTGATTTTATGATTATGGTGCTTCTCTGTCAAAACACCTAGATAAAAGAAATCATTTTATAACAGTGGTCTGTGAGATGCGTATTGAAAGGGCTGTCTTGTGTTAGACCTGAAGTTGAACCAAGGTAGAGTGTCTGTTATGGAGACACATAAAATAATCTGGAAGAGAAATTCTAGTGTGTTAAAAATTTAATTTTTGTAAATGGAGGGTAGGAATTAACATCTTTTTTATGGGAATCCTTTCCCCACAATCAGTACTCTGCATGGTAAATAATGCAAAATCATTTTCTATAACTAGTTCAAGCTCCTCACCCCAATGCTAGAGTTATATCAACTAGCACCTTCTGGATGTTGTGGAATACAACTTCCCAATCAAAGGAATTGCTTTCAGAGAGATGCTAATCCCATTACTGATTTGCTTATGTTTGGGAACAGAGAAGCAACAGTCCCTCTGAATTGGGGGTAGAGTAACATCATTCTGCTGAAAGGGAAAAGACATACCACTTTTTTCCTGTCCCATATTTTATTAGAGATAATGTTAAAATATAGTATTTTTTTAGCCTTGAAAATGCCCCAATACTTTCTGTTAAATCTTGAAGCATCATGGTGAAAATACTCCCTATTTTTTATGTGAAAAAGTGTTTCTAGATTTTATTTTATTTTATTTATTTTAGAAAATTTATATTGCTGCCTACTTGCACATGGCAGCTTGCACAGATATAAAAACCATACAAAAGAAATAAAAAGAATAATAAAATAATAAATTAGTAAAATAATAGCCTCCCACCCCGGCGACAACACGGCTCTTGATGTTGTATTTCATCTCAATCTGCGGTCAGCTCTGCTTGATGGACTATAGTCGTAAGAGGGGAAACTACCGTAGTTACTTGGAGACCCAAAGAGTGGGGTTCACACACACAAAAAAGCTACAATATGTTTGGTTTAGGATGATATATGAATCAAGCTGTTACGGCTAAGTCCCTTGGTAACACAGTTATAATGGCTTGTACAACAAATAATTGTTACGTTAATAATTACGCAGGAGTGCAGCTTTATGTAACAATTAGACCTCAAGGCAAGGCAAGTGCTACCCACACTTTTGTTAAAGAACTAGCAAATGCATTCAGTATGGATGCTTTCAGAATCAGTTGAGAAAGGCCATCATTTCTGAATGTAGCTGTAAATTATATTTGAATGCATTAATATGATGAAAATAAGAACTCTTATTATTTAATAATATATTTTTTAAAAAATTCCTCAATATATTCAGCAAAGGAACTGTCTTAATGCTTATAGTATGATATTATTTATCTTAAAGCATTGGGATCTATTAATGACAGTTCTTATATTGCTACTAAGTTACCCAATAAACTCTCCTGGTGTGCTCCAAATAATAAACATTAGGAAGCAATCAAGAAGCAATCAACAATCAAAAAGAAAAAAAGTACCCCAATCAAAGTATACCAGCTCAGACAAACAAGCTAACAGTGAATAGCGATTCAATCAAGGAACCACCAAGACCAATTTCCCCAACATTCACAGGACAAGTCACTTGAGAGCAAACTCCACTCCCTACTAGTACTGATGATGTTACCTAGTTTGGGAATGAAACATCTTCAAGAAAACAATCAAGCTCAGAGAGCACAAAGGACCATCAGTCACCATTCATAAACTTTTCTGGAATGCTTTTCCTAGCAGTTCCTACATGCTCAATTTTTTTTACCATCCACTCAGTTTTGCTCAATCAGCATTACATTTACTAAACAGAAAATATATCCTTTAAGGCCTTAATACCTTTTTTTATCTTCTGCGTAGGAAAGCTGACTGAAGTTAATGGGAAATAGATGTATATTGCCACATAGTAGATGACAATATACTCATTGGAATGCAAGTTGGAAAGATTTGTGTGTGGAAAACACACATTCCAATGCTCACAATTGATTTCTTTTTGTTGGTAGTTTGGTCCAAAGATCTCTGGCTATTATTATTAAGAAGAGTTTTATTAAATATTATTAAATAGGATTATTAAATAAGATTTAAGTTGTGTGAGGGTGCACATGCATAAACACACATTCATTTGCTTTAGAAGTACACAACTACAAAAAACACAGATTGTAGTTGGGCTAGAACAGCATTCATTTTGAAAATTGCCTATTGTGGAGAAAATTAAATAATGATATATAAGATGTCAGAAAAAAGAGAAAGCTAAAAATGTAAGACACCTGTTACCTGGTGAAATACCAGATTTAATACAATCAACTATAATTTCACAAAAAGTAAATTATTGGAAAACCAAGGTTAAGGATACATACCCACCATGCTACACTCCAATATGGTATTAATAGTACCGTACCCCTACTTGCATTAATGTTCCTAGAACAGATTAAACCGATAATTGATCAACTATCAGTAAATACAGTACTGCAAAGCAGAATAGAAACAGAACAAAACTAATACTGTAAAAATACTTTCTGGGGAGAGTTCTTGGGTCCAACGTGGTTTATTCTAAGTATGGCAATATAATTTGATTTTAATCTCAATAGGAATATGAGCGTTCCACAGTTTGCAATTGTAGAATTATTTTCAATTGGATTTATAGGATATAGTCTAGGAGAGATTTCATCCTCTTAGACTACATTAATGCATACCTTAATGCCATATGGTATCATTTCAAATATTATAAAGAATGTTAATTTTTTAAAAGGCGTATTATTTTTTAAATAATGTTTTCCTACTATGTTTTTCCTATCCTCCATTCTGCATCCTAGCAACTTTGCTGATAGAGGCTATTTATGGATGTTTTTCTTTAATCAGCCTCATGGATATGTTATTTAGCCGGTCTCAATTGCAATATGCAAGAGAGCCCTGGAGGCTCATTTGTGGGGTAGATTATGTGTTTTGTTAAAACAAATTAAATACCATTCCTAAATCTAATGCGGATGAAAGGACTGAAAAACTCCTGCCTAAGGCTACCCAACGCGGGATGAGATTTGCACAAGAAAGTCGGATTAAAGCTATCCCGCGACTATATTATTCTTATTCATAGGCGTCATGATCAAGACGTTCGTTTCCATCATTACAGTTTTTGCTTGAAATTTATACAGCGCCGAGCACGGAAGCCTCGCAGGAGAGCGCTGTGATGCAGGCGGCGCTCCTCCCCACGTTGGGTTGTCCTTCCCGCGCCTCGCCGAGCACCCTGCGTTGCTCCTCCGGCCTCCGGGCGCCTGTTCCTTGCGCTGTGCTCGCCGATGCGACCCTTGCGGTATGCGGCTGCTTTTGGCAGAGAGCTCATGAAGGATTTCATTGAGTGTGAAGACAGAGAGCAGAGACAGAAAAGAGAAGAAGGCGGCCGCTGCCTTTGTAGTCTGGCTGGAATGCGGAAATGTTGAAGCACTATGTCAAACTTTTTTGAAACGGGGTCAAATCACATTCAGCCAGCGTGGGAAACCAAGGGGAGAAAAAAGTAGAAGCGAGGTGGGGGGAAACTCTTTTGCTCCTGCTGCTGGTCTCAAACCGAGCTCAGGAACCGAGGAGAGAGAGAGAAACTGGGACTGCGCGGAGAGGCGGCGGCGGCGGCGGCGTGCAGAGCTAACGCGGAGCCTTGCATTCGGGAGACTGTTCGTTGCAAGGCTTTGATCAGCCCCAGAAAATTTAGCAGCGCCTCTTTCACTTTTTCCTCAAAGAGGGGGAGGGGATCCTCAGCGCTTTAAGGTGTAGTCTGCCCTCCCGGCTGGCAGGAAGATGCGAATGCGGGGCAGCGATAGAGCTTCGGAGTTGCTGCTGCCACTACCTGTGTGGCCCCAGTCGCGGCTGCTGGGCTCCGCTCGTGGAAGCTCACCCTCCCCTGTCATCATGTGAACGCTTCGAATCCGGATCGATTCTGCTGAGTGTCTCATTGTCACGGGAAGCGGAATTTTTAAAAATATCTATCTATCTATCTATCTATCTATCTATCTATCTATCTATCTATCTCTATCTATCTTAGAAAAGACGCTCTCCATTGTTTTTCCTGCCTCACCAGGTCTTTGCTTTTCATCTTTCTCTCTCTCTCTTTTTTTTTAAAAAAACTATTTTTTAACTCCTGTCTTGCTGGAGACCACTTAAGTGGTAACTTCCTCGGAAGAAGCCGAAGCTGCGCCTGAGCAATTCCAGGTACTTCTGAAAGTGCCCATGTGCTCTTAACAGATCAGTAGCTTAACGCTTCATTAATTTCCAGAGGTGGGTGGCTGGAATGGGGCTTTCGAGATAAAAAGTGGGGGGGGGGGACTGAAAAGTATTGTTCTAGTTTCCCACCCTCCCTCCTCTCCACGTTACTTGCATGCTGCATAGGGGAGCGCTTTGGGGTGGTCCTTGTGCGATCGGCGCAGCTTCTACAGAGAACCACGTTCCGTGTCCGCGTGGGATTTTCATGGACATGCTTGAGCCGTCTCAGCCGTGGCCAAAGTAAGAAACGGTGGGGAAGTGTTGCTGCGCAAAACGCTTACTTCATTTATTTTCTATTTTAGGAGGCTGCAGAAGGATATTAAGAGAAAAGGGAAGGGGTTCATCCGTCCTAGCCTTGCTGTTACCGACAGTCTAGTAGCACATGTAGTGCATCAAGTTGATGCATGATTTATTCACGTAACTTCTGCATGGCAAACAGTTGAACGTAATTTCTTGGAGTGGGAATTCTAACCCTAATCCTTGATAAACACCCCCCCCTTTTCGCCCCCTAGGATGTATATTTTTATTGAAACGATAATTGCCCGTCGCCAGCAGCCACGAGCGCTCCGCATGGAGCTCCCGCATACAATCATTCCCGGGCTGCGTGCGTGGCCGTCTCCGACAGTAAAAAACGTTGCCTGAGCCCCCGCCCCTTGACGACCTCCCACATGGAGCCCAGATTCCCATCTTCCAACCTCGCACATCAGAGGCCGCCTGGACAGTGGGGGGCGACTTCCATCCCAGAGGCACTCGGCGCCTCCGCCGTCTCGTTGGTCATTCTTATTTTCTATTGGCTACTGAACCTTTAGGGAAGGGTCTATTTCTTGGGGGGGGGGTGCTTGGAATGTTCTTTTCCTGCAGTTGCAACTTGTAGTTAACTTTGGGTGGTTGTCTTTCATTTCTAACAGGAGGTTGTAGAATTGTCAAGTTTCTTTTCAAGCAGATTTTAATAATAGAGTAGCCTTGTAGAAATTATATTGGGCTAGTCAATTAGGTTTGGGGACATCTTCTGAAACACCTACAGAAGCAACTTTGAATGTTATGGTGGGAGAAAGGTGGGATCAAAATATTTTTTATAAAAGTAATTATAATGTTATGGCCAAAAGGATAACAACTTTTTAGCATGTAACAGTGCCTGCCCCTCATTCCAAAAACTATCCTTGAGCTTCAAAGCTGCTTTTCCCACTTTGGGGCCCTCTGTTTTAGCAGCACAATCTGCAGAATTTGTACTCAAAATTCCTTTAGGCATGCTAAAGTTCCCATCTTTAATTTCTGGTTTGTCCAGTTAGGACTGGCAACAATGCCTTCCAAAAGCCACAGAGAATCACTGCTGCTCTTTGTAGATTAGCTTTCTCCTATTTGGTACCAGGACAGAATTGCTAACTGAGTAAGAGAAATTGTGAAAATTAGAAGAGGAACTCATATTTATGCTTTAAATAGTTAAAATAAATGATCATATTAAACAGGTAAAGTAAATATCACATTTATTGCATAGTTAGCTATTATTTCTGGATTTGAAGAAAATTATCAGTTGTGGGTGATTTGTTTTTTGTTGAAATTGAAACTGAGGAAGGAAAAGTTACACTTATTTGCCTTCTTGCCCTCCTCGTGTTAACTTTTTTTTAAAATCCAACCTAGAATTGTTGTCTGGTTGACTCTAAGAAGTAAAATACTGTTCATATAAAATGATAAAGTATCTGTATCTTTACATGTGTTGGCTGGAAATGATGGATCCTGTAATCCAGTATATTTGGAAAATGTGAAGTGGCTGAATGGTGATGTGATTTTGTATTATGCACAAGTTGGATGGATTTTATATAAAGTGAAGGGTTCAAATGCTGCTGTCTGTCATGCCTATGGAAATTCTTTATCATCCAGGTCATGGTTGTCCCAGAGGTGCTTTTCCAAAAGGCAACTGGACTGGTACCTTGCCCTGTTACCTTTTGGAAAAGCACCTTTGGGTGCCATCTTTCATGTTCTTCTGTGTAACAGGCAGAAATAGAAACCAGAATGCAGTGCAACTCTAGATTTGTTTTATTGTATGTAAATTTAGAATTGGTTTAAAGCAAATGCTTATTTGTTAACAAATCAGGGTTAGAACTTTGTGAAAATTCTGAATGTTTATATCTGGTGCAGAAAAAATGGCTATTTTGGACAGTTATGGACTTTATTTCTTCCCAATTCCACTATTGTTAGTGGGATTCAAATTTCATACATCCTTTGATTTAGTATATTTATGGATATTATACATAATTAAGAATTATATAGCTAAGAAAGTAAGGGTATAACTTTTCCTGAACAACTGTGTTGAGAGAAAGCATTTTAATTGAAACACAAAATCTTCAGGCACTAACACCCAGACACTTTGCTGGCAATAGCAAGAAAAGTCTTTATAAAATTATATCCGAGTTCCTTATTTGGGAACTTTCCCTTACCCAACAATTTGCACATTCTAAAACATCACAGGTAGCAAATTTAAGGGGATAAACCCCAAAACATTTAAAACCATTTGAAAGACCAGTGAAGCAAAATATTTTTGAATAACCTTCCCAAAAGTAAATGAAGAACAGGCTACTCTAGAACCTAGGAAAGAAAATGTGGCAGTTTACAATTGCTGCTGCAGAAAATCCCTATATTGTGTTTCTATCAATGTGAACTTTCTAGTGATAGGAAATATAGAACTTCTTGAAACTGATCTTTAAGCAGATTCACTTTGGGGGACGTGATCTTTCAAATATGGCCCCAATTCATTTAGGAATGTGTAGGTACAGATCAGCATCTTGAATTATGTCCAGAAACAAATTGACGCCAGTTACGGTTTATGCAGCTGATTGTTAGGGCAGCTCTAGATAAAGCTATATCTAGCTATATTGATATAACCTATATATAGGTTATATCAACCTATATGAAAGGGGTTAATTCATGAAACACTATGGCCAACATTACAGTAAATCTTCTGAACCATTTGCAGATATTTTAGTTGTAACCAGGTTTCTTGCTTATTCGGTTTTTTATTCATATTTTCTTTTATTGTATGAGCAGAAAAAACTTGATAGTTGCCTTTTATCTGTGGTATTTCATGTATTACTCAAGCCATTGTCTTTCTTGCCAATGAATTGTTGCAACATTGGGCATAACACTATCAGACGTTGAGACTACTGGTCTTATCATACTATAAAATAGTGCAAAGACATGATGTAGCTTTTTTTCTGGAGATAGTAGTTATCCTTACCACAAATCAAAATGATTGCAAGATGAAAATGTGTGAATTGCCAACAGGCAACTATTATGCTGATAGCTCATAGTTTATGTATTTCTAATTTTCTTGTGCATTTATATTATTTTTCCAATTCTTAAGGTATTTCCCAGTTCCTTATTTTGAAACTTTTTGCAATACTATAATGAATCAATAACTATTGGATCATGAAAGACTGCTGCATACCATAAAAAATGAACAAAAGGTTGCTGCAGATTTATTAAAAGAAGATACGGGGCTTTTACTGATCCTATAAACATAGAATATTGTTTTACACATATGACTCCCTTCAAGTTCATTGATGCACACTACTGTAGGTGTATACTCAGAAATAAGTTGCACCATGTTAACCTGCTGAAGAGAAGGGGCGCAATGGCTCAGAGGTTAAAGAAGCTGATCTTTTCAGCTGAAAGTCTGACAGCCAGAGTACTATCTGACCAGGTGAAGTCCCAGCTCCTGCCCACCTACCAGTTTGAAAGCATGTAAATACAAGTAGATAAATAGGTACCACTTTGGTGGGATGGCAACAGTGTTCTGTGCACCTTGGCATACAGTCAAGCTGGATACATGACCAGAGAAATGTCTTTGGGCAACACTGGCTCCCTCAGATAAGAAATGGACCACTGCCCCCTAGACTAGATAGGGAAAACCTTTACCTTTTACCTGCTTAAGACAATTTTTTTTGCCAGTAAATGCAGAAGGGAAACCAGTTTTTCTGATAGTACTACTGAAAGTAGTAAGATTTCTTGCCATTTTATAAGCAAGAAACACAAAACTTCAAAAATTCTGCAAATGTGGGAATCCTGCAAGATGGAGTTTTGCTTATTTTGGGTGACATTACCTGCCCGCTATTGTTCTTGGATAGCATCTTCTTTCTTCAGTGGTCATTTAGAGAATAGTATTATTCATACTCTTCAATTGCTCAATAAATTTTCACTAGTGGAGTTCTGACAAACAGAGGTGCCTAAGTATTATGAGTACTAAAAACTCATATTGCAGTGTAGGAAAACAGACACAAAGCCTGAAAAAAAGAGAAAACTTCATAATTATTGAGTAAAATATTAGAGGTCTTTAATGTTGAAAAAGGAAGGAAAGCTTAGGAAAATGCATGGACAGGAGGGAAAATTCAATGGAAGGCTGTGAAAAGTATGGAAAGCGACAGGAAAACTACGCTATAGCAGAAATAACAAGGTTGGGATAATTAGGGAAATAAGAAAGAGAATATAGTGGGAAAAGATCTTTTAAGAAAAATCATAGTATAGTAATCACCAAAAGGCCAGCCTTGTACAATTTAGCATATTCTAGTGTATTGAACTAATGATGTCTTCCTAGCCAATCATCTTCATTGATTAGAAATTCTGAGATTAATTCACAGGTACAGACAATAGAGCTTCATGAAAAATTTGTAGTAAGTTAGCACAAATAGAGCATCTTTCTTAAGGCATTATACCATCCACACCTTTTAAAAAGCTTGTATGGCTACTTTGAGATCAGTCTTCTCCTTGAATACATATGCATGCCCAGTTTCTTTTCTTCACCATTAATCCCAGGAAATGTATTTTCAGATGGAGAGGATTTTTAACCATCTGCACAAACTTTGTAAAGAACATGAGTGCTTTAATAAAATGTACTTAGTCCACAGCGACCCACATTGCAAATAAGTTTTTGGTTTACACAGCCACAATGGCAGAAGCAGAGAATTAAGTAGGATGATGAGAAAAGGAGATGCAATAATAGAAAATATCTTTGAGATAGCTAAGCAGAATTCTAAAGTTTGGAGTACAAATTCAATTATTCTGTTGTTAATAAACTCAGCTACACCACACTCATATGAAATATAGACCTGGTTCATGCTCAAACATATGTTTGATTTAATACTTTGTTTGAGGCAGGCATAGTTTTTTCTTCAAGAAATGTGTAGTTTAAAAATTGTGGTTTACTGTTATATGAATGTACCCATTGTCTTTTCTATAGTTTACTGAATTTGTTTCCATCTTTTATCTGTAAAATACTAGCAATTACCTTAATAATCTTGAAGTTATGTTAAAGGAATCTGTTTTTTTCACAATTACTGATTTTTGGCATTTACTTACAGCAAAGTTAAAAGAGTTTTTGATTCTTAGTGATGCTTTGGTTGCTCATTAGGGATAATACAGAGAAGTTGGTGATCTGTATATAGACAGGTTTTGTAGCCCTTGTCACTCCTTATTACTTGAAGGTTGAATTTGCTGTAGCCAGTCATAATTTATCACTGATTGTAGATGACAACTATGGATATAAAGCTTACTTCTCTCAACCATGCATTGATTTTTCATTGTTGAATCATTCCCACATTGTCTTGTGAATTCTTCACATACTGGATCTTTTACGTGTCTATCTAGGAAAAGATTAGACTTATAAATATTATGGAGTTTGGATTTGATAAATTATAACATTTGTGCTTTGATTAAAAATTAACTATTATTTTTACCTATTTTACTGGTATTTACTAGATGTGAAAAAAGCACTTTTATGCTTGGTAATGTCAGTGGGACACATCTTACACATAGAAAGCATTCAACATCATTGTGCTTAGTGAGATTAACCTTGCCTTAAGATGTGGGAATCTTCTATCACCCTTTGGATGAATCCATATCTGTGTCTCTCTGTTTTTCTAAAGTAGCAGATGTCTCTTTGGACATATAAAAGAATCAGGACACTTTAAAATCCAAATATGATCAATTTTAGAAGTAATGAAAAATGCATTTCATCTACATCTTGGCTTTGTCTTGCACATTGCTAACTGTGCAGATCGAAACTGAAAAGTCTTCAGCTTTTATCCAAGTCCATTTTTTTCCTTATTTTCCCTGGCTTCAGTTTTGCTTATCTGGCTGTTGCTGTCAATTCCATAGCAGCTCTCCATTTATATTACTGATTTTCTCCCAGTTGAACTCCCTCTAGATACTCGAACTTGATTCCCAGAATTCTCAGCAACAGCAAAATTCTCAGAAAAGCAGTTCTTTGGTGAGAAATTTTAGAAGTTGAAGTTTGTAAATCTGAAGGGCATCTCAATGGATTATATTCTGACCTTGAAGATGGCTTGGAAATTTTAGCTAATAGAAATAGAATCTTTCAATTGTAAAAGATTGATTACTAGTATATTTTTGAGACTCAACTCAGTAACTGTAGTCTTGACCTACAGAGTTCAGGATGTATAGATTGTCACCTGTTCAGTGAAGAAGTTCATATAAAGAGTTGTGTTGTATTGGAACTTGTTTGGGTTAATTGTGTATCCGGTTACAACTTGATAATGTAAACATAACTGGTCAAAACTATCCTTGGTTTAGTGTAGTAGGTAATTCCAACCATTATCTCTTAGACCAACTTTTGTTGAGAAAATAAAATGAGCACTCTGAAGGAAGACAAAATTAGTAATATAGGGATTGGGATATTAATGCTAATAATGGGGATGTAGTCTGGTAATGCATTCTAAGTAGTGATATTAATGCTGTTATATTATTAAGTAAATGAACAGTTGAAAAATAAATGAAAAGATATTCTGTGATGGAGAAATAATATATTCTCTCTCTCTTTCTCTCTCACTCTCTCTTTCTCTCTCTCTCTCTCTCTCTCTCTCTCTCTCTCTCTTTCTCACACACACTTTGGTTTTATAGATTGAATTGGGTTTACACAGACATTTATTCCAAAGACCATTGACCATCTAAGTAATAGGGCAACCACGGTTTATTACTACAGTTCTTGAATGTTACGTCCTGTTGACTGGCCCATCTGTAATTGTTCTGGATACTTGTTGAAGTAGCAGAAAGCGCATTTTGGCAGCTGGAATCCAGGTCAACAGATTCAACAGTTGGAACATCAGGCAACAATTTGTGAAGAAGGAAAGCCGTGAAGTCATGGATAAGGACAACATGAGCCTAGCTGACCAGCAGTATGAATGTGTGGCGGAAATTGGTGAAGGAGCCTATGGGAAAGTGTTCAAGGCTCGAGACTTGAAGAATGGAGGGCGCTTTGTAGCACTGAAGAGGGTGCGGGTGCAGACCAGCGAGGAAGGGATGCCACTTTCCACTATACGCGAGGTGGCAGTCTTGAAGCATCTGGAAACATTTGAGCATCCCAACGTGGTCAGGTGAGGAAGTGGGGCAGAGAATGTAATCAACTATGTTTGAGATTAGTTTTGTAGATTGAATGAGAATTTTAAGCAAAGGCATTTGGATAATCTGAGCATTAGAGCAGATATATTGGAATAGTTTGTTTAAGAGAATATATTGCCAGCCTAACCCATCTGTGCTTGAGATTTGCCTCCTACGCATTCAAACATCCATCTCCAGAGGCATAGGTGTGTGACTTAAGTATTTGAGTGGATGGGCATGGTGCCACATGTATGCATTGATTTCTGGAACACAAAAAGGAAAAACAAAAAGAGTGTATTTTGTACTGGGAATTAGTTGTGCCTAAGTCAATATATATATATATATATAAGTTTGTCTCAAATGTGCTTTTTCCAAAGGCAACTGGACTGTTTTTCCCTGAGGAAGAAGCTGTTTTGCTTCTCATCCAAGATCTATTCTAACTGAATGATGGGAGGGATGGAAAGATTGGTTATGGCAGGATGGTTGGGAGTGGGGTGGAAAGATCATATTCCTTTACAGTCATCTGGTCAATAACATTCTCTCTGAGATTTGTTGAGGCCACTTGGGAATTTATCTGTGCCCTCAGGGTCACCTGAATCGGAATGCAAGTGGTGTGGAATCTTCTTGGAGCTGCTGAAAGGACTGTCTTGTCCTTGGTGGTGTTGTATTCCTCCCCCTCTGTTGAGGGAGGGCTGTTCAGTTCTAACATATATGTCCTCTTTTACCCCTCTTTCAAACCAATGGTCTATCCAAAATGTGGATTTTACTCTCTTTAAAAGAATGACCTTTGTCTTTCAAATGCAGATGGATCCTCAATCTTGTCCTAATTGGTTTGTTCTCCTATGTTGTGCCATGTGTCTGTGAAGTGGTTGTTTTGTTTCTCCAATGTACAGATCTGCACTTATCTCATTACATTGTACAGGTAGTCCTCAACTTAACAACAGTTCATTTAGTGACCATTCAGAATAACAATAGCACTGAAAAAAATGACTTACAGTAATTTTTCACACTTATGACTGTTGCAGGTGATCAAAATTCAGGTGCTTGACAACTAACTCATATTTATGACGGATGCACTTATTTGGAGTCATGCAATCATCTTTTGCGACTTTTGTGACAAGCAAAGTGAATGGGGAAGCCAGATTCATTTAACAACCAAGTTGCTAACTTAACAACTGCAGTGATTCATTTAACAACAGTGGCAAGTAAGGTCATAAAATGGGGCAAAATTCACTTAATAAACATCTCAGCAATAGAAATTTTGGGGTCAATTATGGTCATAAGTCAAAGACTACCTGTATTGCATATGTCATACTGCTCAGTTTGTATCTGGGTGTTTTATGCATGGCATAACATCAGAGAACAAGAATAAACTAAGGCAGAAGCTTATCTACTCCAAGGATTAAATACTTTGCCTACTTGGTTAGAAGTAAGCCATTCTGAATTCAACAAAATGTAATTTCCGTTGAAGATTGTAGCCTTGGTTACATTTATATATATTACATCTCAGGTCACATGGATGCTTAATTTTTTGACAGCAATTCCTGACCTAATTTTTTATAGGTTTGAAAATATGATTTGGAATATAATTTAAAAAATAGAGGAAAGAGTTGGTATTCCCATCTATGATGGTTTTTCTTTTTGTAAGTTTTATATTTTATAAATAGTCCAGAAATAATACAAGGCCGTTCATCAGTAACAGAATATTCCTTTCGGTTCATGTCTATGATTTATGTGATGTTCTGGCTGATAATGATAGTCGTAGGGGAAGATTCATTTGCAATTTTCATGGGTGGAATCCCACTAATTCTAATCATACTGTTTCTTTAGATGAGTAATATGTCTGATATGTAATAATATGAGGTTCAAATGTACATGGTGACTAATTATTAAAAAATGCTTATTCATAACAGGTATTATGATGGAATTTGAAAGAAGCTAGATTAGAACTTTCAGTGAAATTTTCCAAAGAATTTTTGCAAGTTTATAAACAAGTAATAAATCTTCATATTTGGAACCTACTAAAATAAATTTTTTGCAATGCTATATCAACCTATTTTAGATATCTTGTTTATGCATTAATATAGTATTTCTATACCTTTCAACATAATGTGTTTAGAGAGCCTTATGTTTTGCTTTTCTAGATGTAACAGTGAATCTATCTTATGTGTAAACAGTAGGTTTTATAAAATTGTGTATTGAGCATTTATAATATATCTGAAAGATAATTAACTTAGTCTATTAGATGGGGCTGCTGATTGAAGTCTGTTTCAATAGAATTCAAGGCTAGTTAGGATCTGTTAATTTTTACTCATTGAGTGCACTTTCTGAAAGAATTTGTAAGCTTTGTCAACCTTCCCCAAACTGGTGACCTTGAGGGGTATTGTACTGCAACTTCCATTATCCCCAGACAATGTGACCAATAGCTGTGCTGATACAGATGATGAGAATCGTGCTTTCCCATTTGGAGGGTACCAGGGTGGAGAAAAGTGATCTACGTAGAAAAACCATATAGTTTAAGCCAACTACAATCTCCTTACTATGCTGGTTATTTATGTAGGTAGCTGTTTTGTTCTAAAATCCATGGAATTTGTAATAGTTTCTCATCTGGAAACTGTAACATTCATACCTTTAAATGCCTTGCATAGTGATTGCTTTGGGGTGCATTGATTGTTATTGCCTTAAGCATTTTATTTTTCTGAAATTCAATTATTGAAGGGAAAAACTGAATGAACAATAAAGTCATCTGAAAATAAACTGATTGCAAAAGGACTATGAGAAAGCAACTGGAGTCTGTAGTAAAAATCTTAGAAAATTATAGCACAAAGAAAGGAGTACAGGTCAATTCCCCACCACAATCACGCCCAAAATTTCTGTTGCTAAGTGAGACATTTGTTAAGTGAAGTTTGCCCCATTTTACTTTCTTGCCACTGTTGTTAAGTGAATTACTTCAATTGTTAGGTTAGTAACATGGTTGTTAAGTGAATTAGGTTTCCCCATTGACTTGCTTGTCAGAAGGTGGCAAAAGGTGATCACTACAAGTGTCATAAATAAAGAGTCAGTTGCCAAGTGTTTGAATTTTGATTATGTGACTATGGGGATGCTGCAATGATCTTAAGTGTGAAAAATAATCATAAGTCACTTTTTTCACTGCCATTGTAACTTCAAACTGTCACTAAACAAACTGTTGTAAATCGAGGACTACCTGTACATAGTGCTACAGTTTGAGTCATTTTCTGATAATTTTTAAGAAAAAGAAACCTATAATCTATTTTGGAATCTCTTTTTAATATATTTATAATATTTTATTTCATGTGAAAATATCTATTTGTTTATTGTGGTATGCAGTAATACGTGAATTACTGTAATTCTGTACAGTACTGTACTGTACTGTAAAAAGTAATACTTTTTCTCAAACATAGAATGGAATAATACAGTATTTTGGATTTTTCAGTTAAAGAAATAAGGACAAAAGATGATGAGGTTATAGTATTTTCTTATATTAGAAATAGTTGATGATAGAACAGATACCACAATCAGTAACAGTAACAGAGTTGGAAGGGACCTTGGAGGTCATATAGTCCAACTCTTGCTCACGCAGGAGACCTATACTAGGGATTCGAACTGCCAACCTTTCTGATCGACAAGCTCAGCATCTTAGCCACTAGTAGAATTTATTATACTAGATATAATATTTAAAACTTGATGTTGGGTGTTGACTCTTTTGCAATACTTTAAAGCACGCAATTTGTTAGTCGATAATTACCTTAAGAAGAATCCTATAAGTTCAAACCTATTTAGTCTAGAATATGTTTCCACCAAGATTTGAATATTATAGCACAACTTACGTGAGGTGCTCAATAATTGATGTTAAGTAAAATGCCCCTCCTTCTAACACTGGACATTATATATAGGCATCATAATTTAACAGCCTTATTCTCTATGGATCATTTCATTTTGGAATGAGGAACTGCGACCATAAAGGATAGAGACTTGATTCAAAAGGAATTAATTGGGTGTGGAATCAAGTCTTTGCATGCAGCTGCTTTCCATGCAATGCTACATTAAACTATACATCTAGATTTCACATAGAGTGATCTACAGTAATCTTTACTTGGCTTACATGAATATAGACCTGGTTTGATCAATAATACTGAATCCACATCTCTCACTTTTCAATTTTGCATATCAGAATAAATTATTCATAATATGAAAGAGGCCCATACTTGCTTTCTGTAAGATAATTAGTGCAAAAGTTGCCTGAGATGTTCTTTAAAATGTGTTTTAATTTTATCCTAACCTCTAAAATCACTATGTTTGAGAAGGCAAGAAGATCTATCCTCCTCTATTAAATGTTTAGGTAAACTACCATAGAAAAGAACAGTTAAAGAAAAATAAACATTCAGCTTCCTTCCTTTTTTGTTGAAATGCAGTCTTTCAAAATTCAGTGAAAAATATTTATGTAAAATAGTTTTGTTTTATTATAATATTAATCTTCTCAGCAAACCTTTTGTAATTTTGCTTCAGGGGACTACACTAATCTTCTGAATAGCCAAATAGTAACCATTGTCCATACTTGTTTTCCTTGGTCAGTGCTAGTTGATTCAATAATTATTCTGTGTAGATCTAGTATAATTTGATGGAACAAACTGATATAAAATTCTTTTAGTCAAAAGTCATTGTTGACTGATTGATAATGCTTTAACTTCTTACTTGGAAGTAGTACTATATAACGACAGCAGAACTGAGATTGAATAAAAGAACTAAGAGTTGAGATTTGCACATTCTGCTAAGCATGATTTGTTTTAACATGAATTGTACACTAAGCTTTAATTAATTGGGTTCATCCAACACACCATGGTATAGGTGATGGTGTTATAAAACAGTTTGCCTGGTTCAGAGAACATGCTAAGCCATCTTCTAACCACATTATGGTTTGATGAGAAATGCCTTGCAATCATTTGTTTCAAGTAACATCATCAGAACTTTTTTATAT